AATTTGTGTTTGGGTTATGGGCTATGGGTTCAGTTCATAGTGCAATCACTACTAATTCATTCCTCAATTCAACATTTTAATAATTCTTGTTCCATTTTAGACCGACTTCAATTTTAAACCAATATAAATGAAATACTAATTGCTTGTTTTACTAAACTGTTGATTATATATGTAATTGGTCAGCTTGTTTAGTAGTGGGATAATATTTGGATAAGACTCGATGAGAACAATATATATCTTTCCCACGTTTCAAAACCTAAACTTTTAAATTTCTTGATCAACACATGCTTTTGTTTATTCTTTGATTTTTAGTGTGAGATTTTTACTGTATTTGGATTTCTTTTCTAAATCGTAAATCTCCTTGATGAATATGTGTTTATTTGTGTATTAGATAATGTTAAAATATCATGTCAAATCCAAAATTAATTCTTTATCTAGAACTATATGACTCAACAAGTTAGTAATTATAATGTTAATTCTTTTGTAATGATTTATATAAGGGGAAATTAATATAATTACCCAAACTTTATTGGAGCGTGATCTGAAGTAAGTACTCCATACTTGCATATGTAACACACACACACACACATATATAGGGGTGGGATCACATACAAACTAGTCTTCCCATGCTAACCTACAAACTGTCACAAACTGTGCATTTTTACATTATTTGTACTGCATATTGAAGTTCAAAATGTTGCATATTATTTGTATTGCATATTAAAATTCACAGTGTGCATTTTTACATTATTTGTACTGCATATAGAAGTTCAAAGTGTTTCATATTATTGAGTTTGTAGGTTAGTATTTTAAGCATGGTTTGTATTTGATCTCTTATATATTTATATATATACACACACACACCCCAAACTTTATATAAAAAGTTATTTTTGCACTGTGATGTATGCTCTTTTACAAATATAAATTTATTTGAATGGTTACAAAATTAAAATATTCGACGTTTTGTTAGAATGCAGTTTACAATCTAAAATTTCATTTGTGAAATATCAAATCCGGTACAATATATTTTGAATTGCACCCTCATAAATGGTTTGTGTATATTAAATTATGTAATGAATACCCTAAAATCATATTTGTGAAAAAGTATATAATCATGGTGCTGATATAATTTTTTATATAAACTTTGGGGTATATATTACATGTGCAAGTTTTGGGCACTTATCTCACACCCTTTAAAAGTTTAGGATATATATTTAAATTATTTTCCCTTTATATAATGTTTAAAATAAGTTTTATAATATTAGTGATTATTTATTCCCTAGAAACACGCTACACAATATTTATAATATTTGTCTATATTTGACTCGAGACTTGAAATGAATACGCGATATCCGTACATGTTCATATACTCGATTACTTATGTGTTGGTGTCTACGATGAGGAAAACAATGTGCTTTTATTTGAAGATATGTGTCACATGAATAAAACTTCCTCCCACAGATCTGAAGGACATAATGTCTCGATCACATGTATCTGGACAACGCATGTTAGCCCACGCTAAGCATGACAAAAACGCATTATTACTTTTCTGGTGTAAGGAGTTGCTTGAATAAATAACATGTGTTATACATTGGTTCAAAGCTTCAAATGACAACATAAAATAAATTTATACAGGCAATTTGTTTAAAGGACCTACACGAGAAAAGTAATTATGCGTTTCTGTCATGTTTAGCATGGGCTGACATGCGTTGTTCAGATACATGTGATCCAGACAGTACGTTTGGATTTCGGTGAGGAAGTTTTATTTATGTCTCATCAAAGGAAATCACATTGTTTTTCTCATTGCAGACACAAACACACAAGTAATCGAGTATATGAAATTGTACAGATATTGTGTGTTCATATCAAGTATTGAGTCAAATATAGAAAATATTATAAATATTGTGAAAGATGTTTCTAGGAATTAAATAATCACTACATTTCATAATAAAACTTACTTAGACATTATATGAAGGGGGAAATTATTTAAATATCCTAAAATTTGAAAGAGTGTGAGATAAGTGCTCTAAACTTCCACATGTAATCTATATATAAAAAACTTCATATAGAAAGTTATATTAGCACCATGATCATATAGTTTTTCATAAATACAATTTTATGGTATTAAATACATAATTTAAAATACACAAAACATTTATGAGGGTGTAATTAATAATAAATTGTACCGAATGTAATATTGATTATTTCAGATATGAAATTTTAGATTGTTAATTGCATTCTAACTTAGCTTAGAATATTTTAAATGTAACAATTCCAATAAGTTTATATTTGTAAAAAAATACAATCACAATGCGAAAATAATTTTTTATGTAAAGTTTGGATTATATATGTTACATATGCAAGTTTGAGGTGCCTATTTCACACCCCATTAAAGTTTGGGGTAATTAGATTATTTCTCCCTTACATATATGGGGTTTAGATAAATATATAACCAAAATTATACTTAACTTAGTCTTTGATAAATATATAAATCTGATGTATATAAATATATAAATCTGAGACTGGTATTTGATAAATAAATATATCCCTAAAAATAACTATAATAAAAAACTGGCTTCGGCTTTAGCATCTATTTAACCGAAATTATACTGAATTCAACACTTTTTGAAATTCTTGTTCCGTTATAGATTGATTTTGACTTTAGACCGATATTCAACTTTAAGTATTAATGAAATATTAATTGTTCGTAATATTATACTATTTATTATGTAATCTACCAGTCAGTCAAATAGCGGGTCAGAACTTAATTAAAATTAGTCACAGACAATACATGGACGTCCTCGATCCATTTACACTTCTACTTTTCTTGGATAACCCAGGTCCAATCATACATGGACCTAGGTTCGTTGGTATTATCATTTATGCTCAACCATTAAGATATCTTATTCATGTTTGCGCTATGGGATAAGCTCATAGTATCATTGTTACTAATTCATTCCTCAATTCAACATTTTAATAATTCTTGTTCCGTTTTAGACCGACTTCAATTTTAGATCGATATTAAACTTGCAGTATAAATAAAATACTAATTGCTGGTATTACTAAACTATTGATTATATATGTAATCTACCAGCTAATCAAATAGTGGGTTAATATTTAAATAAGACTCAATGAAAAGAATATATATCTTTCCCAGGTTTCAAAAATCATATTTTTAATTTTCTTGATAAACACATGTTTTTGTTTATATTTTGTTTTTTACTGTAGAATTTTTATTGTATTTGAATTTTGTTTCTAGATCATAAATCTCCTTGATGGTATGTGTTTATTTATGTATTAGATAATGTTAAAATATCATGTCAAATCCAAAATTAATTCTTTATCTAGAACTATATGACTCAAGTTAGTAAGTGTAATGTTAATTCTTTTGTATTGATTTATATAAGGGAAAAATGATATAATTACCCAAAATTTATTGGGGTGTGAAATAAGTACCCCAAACTTGCATATGTAATATATATATACCCCAAACTTTATATAAAAGGTTATTTCCGCACTGTAATGTATATTCTTTTACAAATATAAAATTATTTGAATTGTTACAAAATTTAAAATATTCTAAGCTTTGTTAGAATGCAGTTTAGAATTGAAAATTTCATTTGTGAAATATCACATCCGGTACAATTTATTTTTAGTGTCACCCTCATAAATGTTTTGTGTATTTTTATTTATGAAATCAATTCCATAAAATTATATTTGTGAAAAATATATGATCATGGTGCTAATATAAAATTTTATATTTAGTTTGAGGTAAATATATTACATGTGCAAGTCTCGGGCACTTACCTCACACCCTTTCAAAGTTTAGAATTATTAAATTATTTTCCCCTTTATATATGGTTTAAAATGGGTTTAATAATATGATTATTTAATCACTAGAAACACGTTTCACAATATTTGTAATATTTATCTATATTGACTCAATACTTGATACGAACACGCAAAAACAATGTGCTTTCCTTTGATGATATGTGTCACATGAATAAAACTTCCTCGCCAAAATCAGAAGGACGTATTGCCTGGATCACATGTGCTATTATTCAACCTTAAGTATGAATGAAATATTAATTGTTCGTAATATTATATTGTTGATTATGTAACCTACCGGTCAGTTAGATAGTGGGTCAGGATTTAAATAACAGTTGTCATGAACAATGCATGAACTTCCTGATCAGTTCCAATCATACTTTTACTTTTCTTGGTAAATACGAAGTATATATATATTTTACTTTCAAGATTTTTGTATCAAACTTTTATACATCTCTCCATCAACCGTGCTTGAGAAGATCTTTACTATATACTTACTATGTATTACTTTTGTTTCGTTTAAAGGTTCACATTATACAATGACATGATTGTTTAGACAATAATTGAATAAGATTATTCGAATATATTTTGAGAAAATAGTTTTAATGGGTGTATTGTAATGATGTCATTAATGATTATTGTTATACTATAGATGCATTATTTTTAATATTTGATGATTGAATTATCATTTAAAAATGTTATTTTTTAACGAAAAATGTTAATTTTTTTCTAAAATATAAATATTAATCTCTTTAAGAGACATCTAGGAAAGGAAAATGTGAATTTTTTGAATGGGTTGGAGTGGTATATATGCATATAAAAATGATATTTGTATCCACTCTTATACCCACTTTTGTATCCACCTATATTTGTGAAGTGTTTTTTTTTGTCTGTGAACCCGGTTCAAAGACAATATTTTGTTTGTGCAAAATATTGCCTGTAACCGGGGTTCGCAGATAAAAAAACATTTGACAAATATGATGAGTATAAAGTGGTATATGTCTATCATGATGAGTACATGATATACATAATACATATAGACATATAGCCCAACCCGCTTTCCGGGCTAAAAAAAAACATATAGCCCAACCCGTGCTTACCGTACGAAATTAGGTGTACTTGTCTGGCTCATGATTTATGTGATTTAAAAAAAATATTCGGAGTATATATACAGCCCAACCCTCCAATTTCATAACCGTAATCGAGGTTTTATGCGTAATATATTTGTACGTAGTATTACGTATGACTTCTCTCCAAATTGATTCATCTCTCTAGAAAAACCCTGATCCTACGATGCATAGACCAGAGTCAGCTCCCGCCGGGCCGCCGCTCTACCCGGCCCGGAAGTCTGGTTGCGCGCCAGGCAGTTACTACCATCAACAACGGTTGCCGTACCGGCAGCAGTGGAGTCACCCTCCCAGCAACCACCGTTTTCGTACTCCGGAGTCGAGGCCTTCGCCGAAGCCGCCAAATTTCATAATCCACCTTCGTTCCAGAGATCATGCCCTGCCGAGGTCAGAATTCGAGAGGCTTATTGTGGAACTGCCGGAGCGGCCGCAGGATTCATTCTTCTCTGAGGGGAGTAGGGTCTTTTCCGGGAAACTGTTCTACGAGCAGTGGTCAGGGGCCCTCGAGGTAATTGTGCACTTGTGGAGACTACGGCTCGAAGGAGGGTGTTCTGTGACTCCCTTTCTGGAACAGAATGTAGTGGTCCCTTCGGATAAGCTCGAGTTGAATGATCGCCTCAAAGAGGTTTTCTTGGAGAAACTTGAGGCATTAATGGATGGGGAACTAGTGCAGAAGTGCAGGAAGAAGTTGATTCTAGTACTAGACGAGATAAGTAAATTGACTATTCAGCTCGGGAAACTTAATCGTCTGGGTCATTCAGCTAATCTCTTAAAGAAAAAAGAAGTCTTGATGGGCGAGCGGGATTTGATAAGTAAAAGGATTAAGGAGTTTAAGAATGGGATTACGTGTATCATGCTTTATTTGAAGGGGGATATGGAGGAAGGTGATTCCGAGGTGCACATAAGTCTTTTTAAGCTCAACAGAAATCCGGATTGGGACCAGATTCATCATATAGTAAAGAGGGAGTGTAAAAGGCTAGAGGATGGCTTGCCCATTTTTTCTTTCAGGAAAGAGATTCTCAGTCAAGTATTTTGCCACCAGGTGACTAATTGTCTTTGCTACTTCATTTTATGTTTATTTTAGTACTACGTATTGATGTATCTTTTATTTTTATATTTTCAACTATATATTCACCATTTTGTGAATTAGTGAAGGCCCTTTCTTTATACCCCCAATATTGCAAGAAGAGTTTTTGCTTTTTGTTCTGGGCATTTTATTTTCAAGCAGTAAAACTTGTTAGAGGGGGTTGATGCTTGGAAATAGTCAATAGATGTTGGATAGCTGTACTCTATGCTTTCTAAAAGGTCACCTACATGATTCTTAATATTGGAACTCTGATACCCAACTTGTCCTGTCATCTCTAATGGTTTTTTCTAATGTACTCGAGTACCCATAGATTATCAATCCATTCTCCAGGTTCTCTTTGTTTCTTTTGATAATGTCAAATGGCTGTAATTAGGCGGCCAATTTCCATATAGTGGTAATTGCAGTTGGATGTGAAGCTGGTTTGGACATCAAATTTGTTGTAGCAGAAAATATATAATCATAAGTGTGTAGGATCTATTTATGTGTTCACGTATGCCTGCCTCATAATAAAGTGTTGTTTTCACACTTGATATTATAAGCAAGCATCACCACAGAGATTCTATCAAATATTAACATTGCTCTACCTTAGTTTAAAAAAGCGCGCCTGAGGCGCGCAAAGGCGCTAGGCGCTTATAGGCGATAGGGTCATCGCATTTTACATACCCAGACGGCTCAGGTTCTGAGAGGCGATAGCTTCCGACGCTTGTGGGAGCCTATTGCGCTTCTGTGAGGCGAGCGCTTTTCATGCCTCAAGGAAGTGTCCGATGGAATAACTTTGGCGATTGCCACTCCATTTTTTTTGGCGCTTCAGATGCTCCTTCCAGAAATTTTGAAATTTTGGCCCCAATTCTCTCTAGTCTTCTCTTTCTTTTCTGCCTTCTGGGTTTGCCGTTTGGTTAGTCCCTGCTTCCGCAGTTCCGTTTTTTATTTCGCTGCGTAGCTGTTTGGTTAGTCTCTTGCGTAGCTGTTTGAGTTTCCGACTTTTACTTCGATGCTATCTCGCGTCGTAGAGGCCAGAGGTAAGTGTATTTACGTGTTTTTTTTTGTCTTCTGCTATTTCTTCTCTTTTATTTTAAGATGTTATATTTATAAAAATATTAAAATTATTTAAATAAAAAGTTAGATAACAGATACATATTATTTTTTGCTATTTATAAGTTTTGATAGATAACTGAAAAAAAGTTAATTCTTGTAAGTTTTTAAGTATTTCAAGTGTTGTAAGTTTTTAAATTTATATAATTATTTAAATTATTTAAATTTACACATCTGTCTGTAATTATTTTACAGTAAAATTATTTAAATAAAAAGTTAGATAACTGATACATATTATCTTTCGCTATTTATAAGTTTTGATACTTGATAGATAACTGAAAAAATAAGTTTTTTAAGTTTTGATCCGTGAGGCGAGCGCCTCATCGCCTCGCGCCTCGAGTAAGTCAATGAAATCGCCTCAAGCTGCCTCGTGCCTTTTAAAACTAAGTGCTCTACAAGACTACAAACAACAACAATATTTGTAACAATTGAAATCTGCCTTTAGGTTTGATGATGTTGATTTTGTATGTACATATAATCATTCCAATCACATTTTCCCCCCAAACTGAAACAGATGTTATTTGTGTAGGTTACTATTTTGACTGGCGAGACAGGTTCGGGAAAGAGCACTCAGTTGGTACAGTTCCTTGCTGATTCAGGAATTGGTGGTAATGATGCAATTGTCTGCACTCAGCCCAGAAAACTTGCTGCTGCCTCCTTGTCAAGTAGGGTTAAACAAGAATGTCTTGGGTGTTATGAAGATAATTCAGTTATGTGCTATCAGTCATATTCATCTGGCCATCAGTTTGATTCAAAGGTGATATTTATGACGGATCATTGCCTACTCCAGCAGTATATGAGTGATTGTAATCTATCAAAGATATCATGCATTATAGTTGATGAAGCGCATGAAAGAACCCTAAACACTGATCTTCTTCTAGCATTGATAAAGAATTTGCTTGAACTGAGGCGTGATATGAGGCTCATCATCATGTCTGCTACAGCTGATGCAATTCAGCTTGCAAACTACTTCTACGGATGTGGAACATTTCATGTTGTTGGAAGAACCTTTCCGGTTGACATTAAATATGTCCCCTGCGACTACTCTGAAGGTTTTTCTGGTTCATCTCCTACTTACCTTTCTAATGTTGTCAGGATGGTGCTTGAGATCCTCAACACAGAGGGAGATGGAACGATTCTTGCATTTTTGACTTCTCAAGTGGAAGTAGAATTGGCTTGTGAGAAGTTGCAGTTGCCAACTGTCATCACTCTACCTTTACATGGAAAACTGTCGAGTGAAGACCAAAATCGAGTCTTTTTCGATTTTCCAGGAAAGAGAAAGGTCATATTTGCTACAAACATTGCTGAGACATCTTTGACCATTCCGGGGGTCAAATATGTTGTTGATTCTGGTCTGGTGAAACAAAAATGGTTTGAACCTGGGAATGGCATGAATATTTTGAGGGTCTGTATGATTAGTCGAAGTTCCGCAAATCAGCGATCTGGGCGAGCTGGGAGAACCGAACCTGGAAAGTGTTACAGACTCTTCTCAGAAACTGATTTTGAGAGTATGCCTTGTCATGAAGAACCAGAAATCCGCAAGGTTCACCTTGGTATTGCATTATTGAGGATTCTTGCCTTGGGTATAAAAGATGTCAAGAAATTTGATTTTATTGATGCACCTAACCCAGAAGCAATTGAGATGACATTCCATAGTCTGATTCTGTTAGGATGTATCACTCAAATTGATGATGGTTATCAGATAACTGCAGATGGACGGCTTCTAGTGAAGCTGGGTATTGAGCCTCGAATAGGGAAAATACTCATTAGTTGCTTCCGCAACCGTTTAGGTAGAGAGGGTCTTGTTCTCGCCGCTGTTATGACAAATTCTAGCAGCATTTTCTGCAGAGTTGGCACAGAAGTCGAAAAACTAAAATCTGATTGTAATAAGGTGCAATTTTGCCATCCCTCTGGTGACCTTTTCACATTTCTATCTGTATACAAGGAGTGGGATGCCTTGCCTCAAGAAAAGAAAAATAGGTGGTGCTGGGATAACAGCATCAATGCCAAAACCATGAGGAGATGCCAAGAAACTCTTCAAGAATTGGAAACATGCCTTCAGAATGAACTGAGAATCATCATTCCGAGTTACTGGCGCTGGAATCCCCAAATGCATTCTGAACATGATGAAACTTTGAAAAGGATAATCCTTTCATCATACTCTGAGAACGTGGCGATGTACTCTGGTTATGACCGACTTGGTTATCAGGTGGCGCTTACTGGGAAGCATTTTCAACTGCACCCTTCATGTTCGTTGTTGAATTTCTGTGAAAGACCGGGTTGGATTGTGTTTGGTGAGATTTTGGTAGCTGCTAAAGAATATCTGGTTTGTGCTACCGCGTTTGACTTCACCGCTCTATATGCACTTTCTCCTCCTCCATCGTTTGACTTTTTGAAGATGGATGCCCAAATGCTGCAGAAGAAGGTTTTGACGGGGTCCGGAAGCATGCTGCTGAAGAGGTTCTGTGGAAAATCTAATTGTTGTCTCAACAATCTTGTCTCGCGAATCAGAACGTCATGTATGGATGAACGCATTGGCATTGAGGTGAGCGTTGATCACAATGAGATTACATTATATGCGTCATCTGGAGATATGGATGAAGTTTTAACGACTGTGAATGAAGTATTGCAACATGAGCAAAAATTGTTAAAAAATGAATGTTTGGAGAAATGCACTCACATGGGAGGATCTACATTTTCAGCTTCTTTTGCTCTTTTTGGAGCTGGTGCAGAAATAAAGCATTTGGAGCTGGATAAGAGATGTTTGACTGTGGACATATATCATTCAAATGTTAATGCAATTGATGATAAGGAATTGTTGATGTTTTTGGAGAGGAACTGTGGTGACATAGGTGCAGTGCACAAGTTTTCAGGCTCAAGTCATGACATTGAGGAGAAGGAACAATGGGGCAGGGTAACATTTGTCACCCCTGAAGCTGCTAACATGGCCACCGCATTAAATTTGGTTGAATTTAGTGACGGGATGCTAAAATTAGTTCCTTCCAAGATAACATATGGTGGTGATCAAAAGATGTTCTCATCTCCTTTGCTCAAAGCAAAAATTTATTGGCCTCGTAGGAAAAGTAGAGGGACAGTAATTGTTAAATGTGACCCCAGGGATGTGACTTTTATGGTTGGTGACTTCTCGTCCGATTTTATAATAAGAGGAAGGCATGTTCATTGTGAGCAAAGCAAAAAATTCCCGAACAGCATAGTTCTTACTGGAGTTGGTAAAGAGGATTCTGAAGCTGAGATCTTTGAAGAGTTGAGTGTATTGACACACAGGAAGATTTCAGATGTGTTCCTCATTAGAGGAGATGCAGTAGAACATCCTTCACTAGATGCTCTTGAGGAAGCTCTTTTGAGAGAAGTATCCTCCTTGATGCCTAAAAGGGGTCCCCATGGCAACTCTCTTCGTGTCCAGGTCTTCCAACCTGAACCGAAGGATACTTACATGAGAGCAACCATCACATTTGATGGAAATCTTCATCTAGAAGCTGCGAAGGCATTGGAACAAATTGACGGGAAAGTCTTGCCTGGATGTCTCTCATGGCAGAAGATAAAATGCCAACAAATGTTTCAGACTACACTATCATGTTCTGCATCAGTATACCATGTCATTAGGATGGAGCTGGATGCTTTACTTGCTAGGTTCAAGAAGCTTAAAGGTACTTTTGATATGACAACTGTTTATTCTTTATACTTTAGCCACTTTATATTTAATTACTCCGTATAACTATAAAGACATTTACATGCTGCATGACATATGGTACTACTTGGTTATAGTGCAATGATAATTTTTTAGTAAAAAATGATATTGATAGGACATACTGTAAAAAATAATACTCCCATTGTCCTATAGTTGCTGCCTTTTGCACCAAGCCGTCAAGTGCTCACCACGCACGCTTAAGAGATGTCTCCTCAGTACACATTTGCACTAGTACACCTACTTTTACTTAAACTAGTATCACACCCGTGCGATGCACGGCCGAAATATATAATCCAAATATTTAAATCAAAGTGTAATACTTCATCCGTATTTTAAAGATTGCCACATTAGCATTAACACATTTTAAGGAGGAAATTAGGAGTAATGAATATTGAATAGTGTAAAAAAGTATGAGAGAAGCTATAAAATATTAAAAGGAGAAGATAAAAACTTAAAAGAAAATGGATAGGATTAATCCCAACCATTAGTGATACGCTTGAAATAACCCAAAGTATCAATTTTTTCAAAATAATACCAACTATTAAAAAAAATTCTTAAAATACTCCACTCACTTGTAATAAACCATAAATAACATAACTAAAGATTTTTAACTCATGCTTCTACCAGTGAGAGGACATTTGCCTCTAAATATTAATCACTGAGACTTGTTAGTAATAGCCTTGACATCTATTGTTAAAATACATTGAATTTAAAATTTCACTCTAAATATTTGAAAAATTCACCGAAGATCACACGTTGCTTTTTCTGATATCTAATAATGGTAAAGTCGAAGATCTTTTGGGATGGGCTATGCTACTATTGTCATTTGGTGACTCAAATCGTCCCTGCTTAACATGTTCGCCTCTCTAATTTTCTGTCGTTGATAGTGAGAGAGCACTGAGAATGATGAAAGTATCTTTGCTAAAAAATACTCCGTACTAAGAAATGAAATGATCTTATTTAGTTCTAAAAAGCTCATCATACAATATATACTTGTTTAGGAGTTAAATAACAGAAAATAAGTAAAATTTTCACATCCAACCCATTAAAAGTAGCATACAATTAAAACCTAACATTAGAAGCCTCGAGGATAAGCATTAGGTTTCACCAGACTCCAGACCACCCATCTTCACCTTCGAGCATATATCTGCTCTTTCCGGGTTTCTTTCTTCAAAATTTTCTAGCTCAAATGCATATAGATGATATCTCCGATTAGACCGATTAGATCGAATCTGAATATATGACTACACAAACAAATGTGATTTCAATCAAACTGTTCTTACGATCGGAGCACTTCTAGGATGATGCACCACGAAGGACAAATGCATGGCGATCTGCGAAGAAGAAGCTAAACGGCTAGATGAAGTTCTCTGAGTCCCTGATATGATAATACTTTTCGGGAGTTCACTGAATAATGTCCATACTTTTTTCTATCTAGCTAGTGTATAATTAACACTTCTAATTCTATCCCTGATTTCCTTTAATCCTATGCAAGGTCTTCTAATGGAAGTTTGATGAAAAACACCAAGTGTGAATCCTGTGGTAGTTTCTTGTCCCTAATCTCACTGCATCAAAATTATCTTTTGTTTAATTTGATTTACAAATCAAATCACGTTTTGGCCGTTTTTTATTACAAGTTTTACAACCATTATTAAATTAAACCGGATCAATAATTTGTTTAGCAAATATGTTTAATTTAGTATTATCAAACACAAATAATAATTAAAATATATTAAATCTTTCAGTGATTTACAATTAAAACATCTACGCTTCATATATTCTACCTATGCCTCAAATCTATGCTTTTTTATAAACAGAGGTCTGCCATTTGGAGAAGAAGCATTTATAGATATATTCAAAAGTAACATTTATATGGAAAAACTAAGAGCACGTACAGTATAGTACCTATTTTACATTAACATCATCATATCTACTATTCAACGTATAAAACCCCCCTAGGTGATAAAAATTTACATGATTAAGCACAACTAAGAATAAACTTGTTGTCATGTTAAACATAGAAAGTCAATCATTTGTCCCAAGAGTGAAGAAATCACAAGAAGAACATTAGCGTGATAATACATGAAGAATCAATTTTCTAATTAAATTCATTCCGTTGTTCATACAAAGCTATATATGCTCTTATACTATTTATACTATTTTGTAATAAAGTAGTACGTATAAACTAAGAATGCTTTTATAAACTGCTACGTATTTTATTAAAAATGAAAACACTTGTATTTTATCAAAAACAACAACTGTTAGCTTAGCAGGACTGCAGAGGATTCAAACTTGGAATGCGCAACACCTTCATTACTTTGTATAGCACTATAGCAGCGAGAATTTCAGATTCTTTAGGTATGAAGAAGCTGTTATTTATATACTACGTATGTACGTACTGCGTATGTTGTGTTGGGAAAATAAAAGGTCATTAGATTTACTCTTGAATTGTACATAGTAATTTTTAAAAAGAAAGGTCATTAATTAATATTCTAATCCCATATATGACTACGATAAAAAAAATCCCATATATGACTGGTACGCTGGAATACTTTGAATTGGGAAGTGTCTAAACATTAATGAATGTTTTCTCCAACATTCTTCTGTGTATTAAATATTGATGTCAATAAATTTTTGTCTGGAAAGTTCCCAATAAAATCAGACCAAAAGGTGGAGAAACAACCATGCACGGAGAAATGAAAAGATGAAAATTAATCACATGCAAGCTACAAAGTACGCAGGAGTTGTATCCGGAATATTCCATTTAAATTTTATCTAGAACTTTTACCCCAAGGAATTGTTGTACAATGTTTTTGGGCGGAACTTCTTCCCCAAGAAACCTTTTGTGATTATATTAAGATAGATGTCTATTAATCTTCTTTCCCTTTCCTTCGGTATTAAATGCATTTGCTGAAAGTCATTTTGGGTTGTTCTCTCTCTCATGTTGAAAATGTGCCCCAGCCTTCGTCTCCATTGCATCTCCTTCCAAGTAGTTATTCCAATCGTGGATCGGAAAAGGGAAGTTTATTCGAGGAAGAAGGCAGGTTTAGGGGTGTTCATTGTGGGATGCAAATAGCTTAACCAATGAAATTACAATGCTTGATTACATGTGAGCAGACAATGATCTTAATACTCCATGATTAAGATCTATTCTCCACTAACATCTAACCAGGCATTGTAATTTCTTTAGTTAAATGTGCCATAGGGTCATGACGGATTCTATACCCTCAGGATTTGGTAAATTTTGTCTTCGTTTCTTTTCTTTTCTTTCATGGTTGTCAAGCTAAATGAATCAGGGACTTTGTTGCCAAGATACTTAAGATCAAGAGTCTCCTTGTGTGCCTTCAAACTCGTTGGTGTCTATTAGGAATAAAAATACAAACACTAGCACATTGCATAGATGTCAAATCAAGAAGTTAGAATTAGAAGTTGTGTATTCATGAATTGATTGAACCTTAAATGTTCTATATAGCTTTACTGAAGGACATTGGGTATCCATTTAGCATTCCTTCTATGGTTACTTGATTATTGTGTGAAGATCACTTGACATATGTTTCTTGGATATAACACAATATATATTGGTGGTAGGTAGTAAGGACCATGTGCGTGTATGTAATGGCATCAAATGAGTGGCTATGGCAGTTGACAACTAACAATAATTTTTACTTCTGTGTTTAGGTGTTGAATGCAGCCTCGATCGATATGAAAGTGGTTCATACAGAGTTAAGGTATTTGCAAATGCTACTAAAGTTGTTGCAGAAGTTAGAAAACCATTGGAGGAGCTTATGAAAGGCAAGGTGATAGAGCATGTGAGTGTTACCCCCACAGTCCTCCAACATCTATTCTCTTGGGAAGGCATCTGTCTTATGAGATCACTTCAACGGGACACCGGGACCTACTTTATGTTTGACAAGCATAACCTTATAGTGAGAGTCTACGGTTCCCCACAAAAGGTTGACATGGCACATCATAAGTTTGTCGATTCACTCCTCGCGTTACATGAAAGCAAACAGCTCATTGTTCATCTCCGTGGAGAATCCTTACCTTCTGATTTAATGAAACGAGTGGTCCAGAAGTGTGGACCCAATCTTAACGGTCTCAAAGAGATGTTCCCCGACGGAAGCTTCTCTCTCAACAGTAAACAGCACTGCATTTACATAAAAGGCACTGCCAAAGATCTGAAGCAAAGAGTTGAAGATGCTATATATGAGATTGCTCAGGAGAGCGGTGTACATATTCAAAGGAACGATGACGAAGCGAGCTGCCCAATCTGCTTGTGCGAGGTAGACGATGGTTACAAGCTTGAATCCTGTCTTCATGTCTTCTGTCGTTTGTGCTTGGTTGAGCAGTGTGAGTCTGCAATCAGAAGCAGAGAGGGTTTCCCGTTGAGATGTCTGCATAAGGGTTGTGGGTCCTCTATCATCCTCTCAGATCTCAAGTCTCTATTGACGGTCGAGAAGTTGGAAGATCTTTTTCGTGCATCTTTGGGTGCTTACGTGGCAGCAAACCCGTGTTACCGGTTTTGCCCGTCTCCGGACTGTCCTTCCGTGTACCGTGTAGGAACAGATTCAGCATTTGTGTGTGGGGCATGTTATGCAGAGACGTGCACCAGATGCCACCTGGAGTATCATCCTTACATCTCGTGCGATAAATATAAGGAGTTTAAAGACGACCCTGACTTATCTTTGAAGGAGTGGTCGGAGGGGAAAGAGAATGTAAAGAAGTGTCCGGCTTGCCTGTGTACGATTGAGAAGGTGGAAGGGTGCAACCACATTGAGTGCCGGTGTGGGAAACATGTTTGTTGGGTTTGCTTGGAGGGTTTTGAAACCAGTGATGACTGCTATAGCCATTTGAGGGTTGTTCATTTGGCCATTGGATAAGTCAAACTGTCAAACACTTGAATCGGCTATATATAACAACCACTGTTTATATACGTACATATCTGCTTCTCTTGTGTATATATGTATATGCTTCTAATATAATTATCCTTGCGGCATTACTAGGCATACGTCGTCTCATCATCATCATCATTTTCAATTTTACGTAGTATTCACATCTTTGCTTATATAATAAGACACAACCAACGTTAACATGGTCCTTTTTCCGTTTACTTCCGTCTTTTATTTTCTTCCGCCCATATCTCTTTCTGTCCGTCTGTTGTATGCACGTTGCCGTCTACCGTTTATACAACCTTACAGTCTCCAAGCGTCGATTCCTTCGCTATGCAAATTCTCCACCACAGCAGTTCATCCTTTCAAAAAACAAAACAAAAAACCACAGCAGTTCATCTCTTCCACTTCTGTCGAGACGCCCTTCCGATTCTCCCCCAGGTACTCATTCTCAATCTCCTGAATCACTTAATTGGGTTGCCATGGAATAAATTCTGAAATGGCTAATTCTCTCCTCAATGTTGAAATCTCCATACGTACAACCTTAGTAATCATCTGGCCTCCTTTTCCAGATTACCTTGTTTACACATTTAGTAAACTTGCTAACCATTTCATAAATGTCCATTACTTGTTCGACAAAATGCCTTAACCACCGTTTAAAATGTAGAATTCAGTTGAACGTATAAAATGAACTCTTGTGTTTAAATAACAGTTAACCCTTGCAGAGCACACTCATACATTCACTTACAATTCTAATTCTAAAATGTATCTCATCTTTTTACATGCTCATTGTTTACTATACTCATGTTAATATTTATCATCGGACATAGAGAAAAAGGCATACACAAATTGAATTGCTTTAAAGATGAATTAAAAAGACAGATATTTTATTCAAAGTAAAACTCAAAAATGAACTTCCATAAGAAAACATTTACTTTGCAACTTTCATTGACACCAATTCCTTGAAAAAACCAAACATTATAACTAAACATACTTTACTTCTTTTAAACTAAGCAACTCTCTCTTATGTGTCAGGGATATACAAATTCCTTAAATAGTGCTTAATCCTTTTCTTTATCCTGGTAGTGCTTTGTGTTTCACACTTTAATATGCTTGTTTATTAGAATTTTAAAATACCAGGTTAAGTTAATAAAACATTCAGGGTAGTGTGAGTTTGGTAGTGCTTAAGCCTTTTCTTTATCCTTACTGGTAGTGCTTTGAGTTTCATACTTTATACTTTTAGTTAATTAGAATTTTATAAGAAACTTGGAGCAAGTGACAACATTAGGTAGGAAAACTCACTTTTTGGAAATGGTTCCTACGAGTTGAAACCTGTGTTTCAAAAATGAGAACACTAATTCAAATGGTTCCAACGAATAGGCGCCCAAATAAGAACATACTTCAAATGTTAATAATTCCTTTAAAATTCACATGCAAAGTGTTTAGGTTTTTTGGTTTTTCAGGTGTTATTGGAAATACGTTTCTTAAATAGTTTAATAATTTCTGTGTCACATGAATACGGTTGAAGACGTCGCCACCCACACAAGGTTTCTTAAAGAAGGTAATCAAACTCAAGTTTCATTTTATATGGTCGGTCTTATTTTGATTTAATCCAAACATTTGTTACCTTAAAAGAGTGTTTTTCTATTCATTCTTGTTCTTGAGATATAAAAATGTGTTCAGTATGGAAGCTATGATCCACTTTGTCCCTTTCCTTGGCCGTGGTTTTTAGAGTGTTCTTAAGTTTCGTATGTTCTGTATTTCTTGGTTTTTGCTATTTTGGTTGCAAAATAGATATACCCAGATGCAGATGAGCATATCTCCATTGATACCATTTCAAACCCAGACCTACACTGATTACTAAGTTATAAATTTCAGTAAAACTCCACCCTCTATATGACTCAAATTGCATGGGTTAAATACTTGAACTAATGAGTTCATACTTGATTCATTCTATTGCTAACTGCAGAATTGTTTCCTTCTACTTTTTACTTTTGAGAGAATTCCCTAAATAGGAGTAAAAACGTTTTGAATAGGAGTATCATGTTTTTTATTCCTTGAATAGGAGTAATCTGCCAAGTTTGGAAGAAAATGCCATGTTTAAAAGCCTTGTAATGCCAAACTTGGCAAAAATTTACTCCTATTCAAGGAATAAAAAACATGATACTCCTATTTTGGAATTTCAAAACGTTTTTACTCCTATTTAGGTCAATTTCTGTTTACTTTTTAGTCAAAATTTGTAGATTATGCAGCTCTTTTGTGATGATGCCTTATTGGTTCTTTATGTGATGATATTACTCCAGTGCCTTTGTATACCTATATTTTCATTTGCCAATTAAATCTGTAACACTTAAAAAGACATCACCAACAAATAGTTGAATAAGTTTTATGTCATTGTGTGTGTCTATAGGAACTTTCTTTGTTCTTACTGAAACACTAGACCTTATTGACCTACTCCGACTGCTACTGGATAGTTATCCTTTCCACCTGTTTTTTACCAACACCTTAAATTGTGTGGTATTTAAAAAAGCTCATTTTGGTACATTTGAAATGAAAGCATATCATAAAAATGTATACATATAAATTCAAGAAGAACCACGGATAGCAGAACAGATGTGGGAAGCACTCAAGACTACAAATGAAAAGATAGGTGTCTGTCTCTCTATAAAGGATGAGCTAGAAGTAGCTCTAGGTGCACTCTTGAGGGTAATTCAAAAGCTGTAGGGGTTGTGCAGACTTCAGCACATCAGATTATAAAACTTGACTACCATTTACTTCAATTTGGTGTGGCCATATTTATTTTAATGTTAATAACAGATCAAGAACCACGAATCTTGAAAACACTGCTCTTAAGTAGTCCCAGATCTGCTTATAAAAAGGTATTCATGAAAAGTGATACAGGTGTTGTGGGTTTCAAAGGTCGGCTAGCTAAAGTGGAGCGGTATGAGGAGTTGATCGTGTACCTCTTTCATCTATGGTGCAATCTATACGTGATTCCTTGGCGGTGACTCGTAGTGGCGACAAAATGTATTATGTTGCTCATATTTTCCTCTGTTTTAAGATTCGGCTAAATGGGAGCAACGGACGAACTGGTTTCAAACCGTACTGCGTTGTTAGTTTGTTACTGTGAGTGCTGCCTGCTTGTATGAAAGGAGAGATATGGCACAGCCCTCCTGGTGCTTCATGGCAAAACTGAGTGAACATATTGGGAAAAAGAAAGGTCGGAAACCATAACATTCTTGGTCCATTGGCCTCCACCATCACACTCATACTAAAAGGTCATAGGAGGATTAAGCCTCGATGTTATATGTGAGTTTGTATGTAGTTAGACAGTTAGTGTTTGATGGTTTAACAATGTAAGAGATTAAAATAAATATAATGAGTAATTCCTAAAAGGAGAATAACAGAGAGTTAATCAAAGGCTTCAATTCTTGGACACCCATATATATGGGGCAAGTCTCCAACTTCATTCAAAACTTCCTTTTTGTAATTAAATAAGAAAAAAAGTTTTCCATTTACATGTCCAAATCTTCTTGTTTAATGCTCTCATAAAACTAAAAACCTTGAAGCTAAAACTCAATCTTGATGTATTTATTGTTCTGACTCTTGTATATAGATAGGATGGTGGCATAGTTGTTATACCTAGTTACCTACTGTTCCTAGATTTACACCAGCTTGGAAGCCTTCCGTATCAAAGCTTTAGTCTATTATATATACATTGCTGGAATATTGGGTTTTTGTAGGCTAAGTGATCTCTCTCAACTCTTCCGTAAGTATGACAACTAGGAATAAAGCTATTAGTAACTAAAAATGTTTATCTCCTCTCCTTTTTCCTTCGCTTTGTTTCATTTTCATTTCTTTATTTCATTTTGCTAAAGTTTTGTAATTTCAGTCATTGAAATACATATTAAACTCCCTCCGTTTATGGTATTATTTTAAACCATTGAAATAGCACATGACAAGTTGTTAGATCTAATTAACGATATAGTTTTATTACTTGTGACTTAGAGATAATAAAAAATATGGTGCAATTTCCCAATTCTCAATTTATTTCTCTATATGCTCTTTACTTTAATAGAATTGTGTAAGCACCTGATTTTCTCTAATTCTATTTATAGCTTTTAATTGAAGTGAATCAACACAATTCAGTTGTATGTTGTGTTGGTGTTTCTTTAAAAATAATAAAGCCAACACATTAATTCACTTCGAACTCTTGAGCAATTGAGCAAACGACAAGTCCTAGGTCCTCTCTATAGTTGTTGCCTTTGTAAGGTTGAAGGTATACGTCATAATTTTCATTAAGTTGAGCCTAACCTAATCCACTATACATATTGCTATAGATAACAAACTTGAATCAAAATCCCTAAAACTAATAAAAGAATAAAATAATGAAGAGATAGTAATAAAATACTTCCCCTCTCCCACTAAGATTGTTCAATACTAATTCCGGTAAAATTTGTTTGATTCTAAATCATTTTTTATTTTATTCTTACTTTATTAATTCAATATCAACCGTATAATCAACTTTTCTTAATAAGTGTATAACATCCTCATGTTCCAATGTTAATGAGATAGAGATGGTATATAACATGCTATATATACCGAACAAATTCCATAAAAAAATCCAAATAACTTTTGTTGTGGCTAACTTACTGTTTCATTGTGAATAAATACTTTCATGGCAATTTTTAAAGTTTTTTCCCATAAAGAGACAATAAAAATCTAGACAAATGAATATAATTTCAATAAAATTTAGCACACAACAATTTCATGAAAGTAAATGCAGTTATTGGGCATCATTCGCACGTAGTGTGTACTCCGCTAGTCATTAGATAGTTAGATACGTGGTACCTCTCTGGTCTTAGTTTTGTTGAGAAAGTAATTAATTACGGAATAGATTATGTCATTTTCCCAAGGTTTCATAGTGAACTAGTGATTGTGATCAAATGTGTATACTACGTATAGAGTCAATACGTGATTCACTACTTCCATAATTTACGACTCAATTAGATCCTTAACTTTCTTTCGGATGTAATATCAGTCCCCCATTTAATTGGTCCCAATTTGGTCTTCATATATAGTAATCCCTCCATTCTTTTTTAAATGCAACATTGGACCTTTTCCACTATTCATGTGTTCTACTTTAACTCTATTTTATTCATTAATGTATTATAAATTAATTTTTTTAAAAATGTTGTTAAATTCTTCTCATTTCAAAATTTCCAAATCTAATTTTTTTATTTTTTCTTACTAATAAGGAATTAAAGATAATAGTGGTCAAACTTGTGTGTTGGCAAACGTGAAAAGTGGACCGTTGCATTTAAAAAAGAACGGAGGAAGTATATACGGAGTAATAATTATTTTAAAGAAAGACATATTTTTGTCATAAGAGTCAATGGATAAGGGGCATGTTTGGCAATCAACGGTTAGCGGATTGTACATAGCAGATTCAGTTAGCGGATTTGACCTGCGGATGGAATTGGTGGTTACAAATACATGTTTGGTAATTTAGCGGTTCAACAACAATTGATTAGTAGATAAAAAGACATATAGGGGCATCCGTAAATTTTACTTTTTTGAATCCATCTTTTTACTCGTTCATACCATTCATTCATTTTCATTACCTCAGTACAGCAAAGGCTCCCACCTACGTGGGGTAAGAGGGGGTCGGATGTATGCAGTCTTATCCCTATACTAAAGCACAAAGAGACTGTTTCCGGATGACCCATAGTGGAAATCGCGTCCATAATTGCATGGACTGACTGCTGCTTCACAACAAAGAAGGGCAGACAGTTTAGTGAGTCATTTATTGCTTTATTCCAACAAATCGCGTTCATACCATTCTCATAACTAAAATAATATACAAGTCCATGGTATTTATATGTTAAAGATTTCTTTTATATCATAATATGTTAATGAATTATAAAATGAGTGAATTAAATATAAAAGTATTTATGCCCTTATAAATTAAATTAAATGATTTTTTATATCATAATATGTTAATGAATTATAAAATGAGTGAATTAAATATAAAATTATTTATGCCCTTATAAAGTATTTAGTGGTCGATCCTTCTCCGTACCAGATCCTTCTTCTCCTCCTAAACTCTAGAAACTAAGAGCATCTCCAATGTTATAATGTGTACGGTGCACATGTGGCATGAGTGATAGCCACATAAATATTAGCAAATAAATTATCTCTCTCCTTATTGGAATGATTTTATACAATTTAGGTAAGTTTTTCCCTGCAATGTCAACAACAATGTCAACATCTAGACAGTCTCCTTGACATTGTGGAGGAAAACTACTTACCAAAAATGTATAAAATCATTCAAATAAGGAGAGAAATCATTTATTTACTAATATTTATGTGGCTATCTCTCATGTCACATGTGCACCGTCCACATTATACCATTGGAGATGCTCTAAAATCCATTAATTTAGTAGCAGATTCTTCTTCTCCTTCGTGTTTTTCTCTCGTATTTCATTTTCTATTTATCTCAATTCAGACTTTTTACATAGCACTAAAGTACTTCTTCTTTTAATTCCGCATCCCATTGTAATAGATATACAGTGTTTTCAACTTTAAACCTCCATTAGTTGTGGTTTCATGCCAGTAAGTGATTTACAAGGAGGATAAATGAGTCTTTTAATTAATGAAGTTGAAATCATATCGCCACTTTCAAACGCTGCGATGTGCAGCGATTTCAAATTCAGCGTTTTTGATTAAAAAGCCAATGCAATTCGCCATTAACTAACCAAACACCCTAAGTTAGAGGTTTGACTAAGGCAAAACCGCTGAAAACGGTCAAATCTGCTAAAATATGGCTGAATCGCCATTATAAAAACAGGTCCAAGATGCCATTACAATTGGCATGCGAATGGGTAAAGTTTGGATCAAAATATAGTCAGAGAAGGATCTATGTATGAGCTATGGTAGCCTGAAGTATAGAGTAAGTTAATTTCATTTCAAATTTTTAGTGCAAAAATTTAAAATTTTAAGCCTAATATGATTGATGTTTAGTCCATGACATCTCAGAATCTCTGATCCGCCCTTGAATATAACGTTCCAGATTCAAACCCGTTAATTGATTTATTGCTTCAAGCCTAATATGTATATATGGAGGTAGAATTATGATTCAGACCTAGACCCAATGTGTCCCTATCTAGATTAAGTAGACTTGTTTGATATGGAGTTAACAATATTGGAAATTTTAGAGAAATTATATACCCACATTTGAATTGAATCATAGGGATTGAAAAGATATGAATAAAATTAAGAGCTAGCTTGAGACATAATAGTTAAATTGCTTTGATAAAATAAAATCAAGTGCGACAACAAAATTAATTACATTTCTCATTCATATTTATGGAAAAATAAATGTTTGTTTTTCGAATAAAAAGATGTATTGTGTGTATATGAAATAGCACTAGATGTGTATTTGATAGGCCTAGCCACTAGATGTGTTGCAACCAAACTTATTGACATGCCTAGTACAACGAAAACAAAAGCTCATTCCATTGTTCCAACAAATCATGTTATCCGTAAGTGATACATAGCACGTAGTACTTCACACTTGGAATAATTTTAATTTGCATTTTACACTTTACACACAATAGACTACACCACAATTTTACAAGGTTGATAATACTCATCTTAAGACTTGGAGTCCTTTACAAATGTGAATTTTGTAGATGGAGTTTTTAGTTCTATTATTGAAGAATGAAATTGAATCGGTCGTTTCACATCAAATCTTAGGATTTCATTGTAAAGTTAAAGGTAAAGATTAATAATTTAAGAACTTAAATAGAGCCGGTTAATACAAGATGGATAATCAAATTAACTGCTAATCAAGAAAGTTGAAGATCAACTTAGTTGGTTTTCTAAATATATGGGCCTATAATAATGAACTGAAACTCAAGTAAATCTAAGTCAAAAAGAGGAAAATGGAACCAAATGCAAGGGTGACCCCAGCTATTCCCACACAAAGAGCTTTTGCCATAAACCATGTTAAGGCAGAGACACTATTATCTGCAGTCTTGTACTTGTTCTGCTCATCTTCCATCTGTGAAGCTTGAAGCTCAAGCAACCTGATCGAGTTCTGGCAAGCAAGCAACCGCAGAGAATCTTCCAGGAGCAGATTCGAGAGAGAATCTCTTTCCTTGCATATGAGTCGGTATCTCCTCTCTGCCACTCTTGCCCGAGTCTGGGACAACCTTAGAGCCTCGAGCAGGATGTCTACCTCCTCATTTTCCCAACATCTTCCACCCTCCAGTGACGCCGCCGCGCCGGAAAACACATTCCGCGGCGGAGGTAAGTCACAGTTCGCAATCATCCGGCTTGCCATGGACCTTTGATTAGCATGCGAGTGGCAGAGTATCGATCAAAGAGCTTATAAGGTTGAAGGCCAGAGGAGATGGATCAGACATTGGGGGGTTATCAGAAGTGGGGAGATAAATCATATGCTAA